CCTTCCTTCCTTCCTTCCTTCCTTCCTTCCTTCCTTCCTTCCTTCCTTCCTTCCTTCCTTCCTCTCTGTTGCTTACCTCTCTCCAAGATGTAGTTCAGTTACAAGTGAGGCTCTTTTGTCTTCATCAGCTTTTATAGCAAAAGCTTCACAAGCTTTTATTATATTAGCATTATAACATTAGCATTCATTGATAGCTATCTAAGCCTTAAAAACTCTAACATGAACACGGTTTCTTTTTAATGGGATGTTCTACTTAATTGCTTAATTGTTCAAAGTGCTTTCAGCAGTCTGCTTGCATTTAGCAGCATATCCTCTAACAAGGGCTTCTCTTGAATTCAATTCTCCAATGTCCGCTCTCACATAAACCCCCTTAGCTTTCTATAAAAAAAAGGATTAAAAGATTGGCAGTTCCAGACCTTTATTCTTTAGCAGGATGTCTATCTACTTCTAAAGGATCTAGATAGATATCCTTTATGCTTCCCTTTATCCTTTATCTAAAGGATATCTATCTAGATTCCTTAGATAGGGAGCATCCTATAGGATGGAAAAGGGACTAGAGACAGAAAGCAGATAGCATGTGGATTCCATGGCAGCCATTTTGTGAATGGATAGGCCCCCTTCAGCAGCCATTTTGTGGAAAAGCCCAAAGATTCAAATAATCTCAGAATGGTTGGGGACACCTTGGTTAAAAACCTTCTCAGGAACTGGCCCTGCTCTTTGGAACACCCTTCCCCCTGAGATCCAGCAGGCCCCTACCTTGCTAACCTTCCAAAGAGTCTCAAAGAACTGGCTTTTCCTGCAAGAGTTGGGATAGTGTGATTGTCGTACGCCGCCCAGAGTCACTTTTTGTGTTGGGTTTTGTTTTGTTTTTAACTGTTTGTATTGTTGTTTGTGAGCCACTCAGGGTTATGTTGCATAAGATAAGGGTAGCCATATAAATCTTTTAAATAAATAAATGAACAAATAAAAAGCCATCAAGGCATGCATAACTAGCTCATTAAGAGGTTTGGAAGATATTTGTCCTATGGAACAGAACTAGAAATGAGTAACCTCCTAAGGTGACCGCTCTCAGATGGTCCAGAGGCTCAGCCTAGACCAGAGAGGCAGGAAGAGCCTAAAGAACTTGCTAATTCCCAGCCATGTTTTTAACCATTTGCTCAGATGGAAAAGAAAGATGCTGCTTTTTCCAATGGAGAAGCTGCCCACCACAAGGTCTCAATGCTTGTGAGTCGGCTATATCATAATCCTTTCCATTAAAATGATCTCTCTGTATACCCTGTGGGTGCCGAATGGATTTCTTGCTATAAAGGACAGGGTTTAAGCATGGTAGTTTATTTCTTTTTTTTATCAAATTTATATCAAAAGTGACTCGGGGTGGTGTACAACAAAATTATAAGACAGTAAACATAGAAAAACAGTCATTATTTTAAAAAAAAATTTAAATCACAGGCATAAGAGAGAATAGATGTTAAGAGCAATAATGGAGCCACCTCAAGATCTCCCTGGTCCAATGGGACCCCCAGACCTGATGATATAACCAGGTTTTGAGGGACTTCCAGGAAATCAAGGATGGAGCTAACTTCACTTCGGAGGGTGGAGATATTCCATAAGGTGGGCACCATGGCAGAGAAGGCCCACCTCCTGGGACCCGCCAAATGTACTTCTCTAACAGATGGGACCCATAGCATGCCTCTTCTGTTGGATCTGAAGGGTATAACCGGGTAATGCAAAGAGTTGAGAGGCACTTTAGAATGAATGAATGGAGGTCCAGGTCACACAATAGATTTTTAGATGCATGCCTAAGACATTTGAAGAATTTCTCTAAAAATGGAAGCTGTAAATATGATACACACATGTTTCTAAACACTTTTATAACACCAAATGAATAAGTGAGGCACAATTGGGCTCCCCCTTGAGTGTATACTTAGTAGAAAAACTGATTTTGACATCATTGCTCAGAGTCAGCTATGACTGCATAATAACCTAACAAGTAAGTACATAAATAAATTATGTAGATTAAATAGACCAGACTTTAGAAGTTCAGTACAGCCTTTCATGTAAAGTACAGTGAGTTATTTTTACTGATATTTAATAGAACTTTTGACAATATATGAGATGATGATGATGATTCCAAATCAGGTTGGGATAGTACAGTCAAAGGTGGAAATTAGAGGTTGAATCCTGATATGAGCATGACCAGTGGATCGTATATGCAGCCCAAATTCCATCTTCCCATTGATTTCAAAGAGATAGGCGCAACAATGGAATATTTATTTTGCAGTTATGGGAATGGATCTTGGTTATTTTTCTGCCAAATTTCAGACAATGTGACAAGTTGGCTGCTGTTCTCTTTAACATTTGGCAAAATGATGAATGTATTCACAGCTGGGCTACATGCAGCTGAGTCCCAAACAGAATTATGCTTTTATGATCCAGCTTATTTCTCAAAAGTCAATGCAACAATAGAGCTCCTGCTCCAGACTAAAATAGCCATAACTATTAACTTGTTAATAAATGGAATGAATACTTAATAATGCCGTATGAATTGGGGAGGGGGAGAAGGAAAAGAGAGACAGTTGTGTGTGGGCTGTTTGTGCTAATGAGCCTACATAATCATTTGCTCTTGAGCAGTCAAATTTTCCTGCCATTGATGAACATAAATTTGAGTCATGCCATCTCAGCAAAACTAGTTGGATCACCATGTGCATTTTTAAGAAACAGAACGTATTATTTATTGTGTGATATTTTGGCAATGAAAAGCACAGAGCTGTCATGACATCTCATTGTGGTATTCTCTCGCAGCTGCCAGAAAATGCATTTCTCAAATATTCTTCTCCTCCATCACCACCAACACCTCTTCCTCTTCCTTTTTTTTCCTGCACCTGATGGTTTATCTAACAGTAGCTATTTAGTGTGATAATGGCGTTTGAGAGATTGGATACAAACACCATTGTCACACTCCAAAGCTCCAGCAGAAAAGAAGTCTCAGAGGAATGCAATGTTCATAGTTCTAGATTTATGGAAAACAGCCAAGGGGACCTGCAATAAAGAGAAAAAGGGTCAATGATCAGAAATAGAATAAAGAAGAATGGGAAAAAAATACTATCAATACAAATGACACCAGTTTTGAAAGGAGAAATAGCTGTGGACCAGTTTAGAGTAACAGATTATAAATTTAACATTCAGCTGACTTAGGATTTGCTTGGGACTGACTGGGTTGCCTTGGTTGGTCTGACCACAGCAACTTTGTACCTCTTGAAGAAGAAAGTTATGGTATGCTTGTCAACATTTCTGCTTCGTCAACTCTCTTTTTCAACTTTTCTATTATACTTTGCAACTTACTCATTAAATTGCAGGAATAGAGTATCAAAAGTAACAACTCACTATATTCTAAGTAGAGTTGGATCTGTATACTAGACTTCAGAAAAGCAGATTCTGATGAACTCTGAGGGAAAGGCGATCACATGCAATGTTTTTAAATCTTGAAAGAGAAATGTGTCCAAGATGGAGGGGAGATCCCATGAAATGAAATACTGAAGGTGCAATTGCAAATAATTCCAGCAAGAAGAAAAAATGGAAGAAATCTAAAGCCAGTGTGGATACATGCAGAACTCTCTAAAATGCAGACAAGAAAAAGGTAATGTATAAGAAATGGAAGAAAAAGAACATAACCAAAGAAAAGGACAAGGGAGACTCCTGAAACTGCAAGGACAATGTCAGAAGATTAAGGCTCAGAATGAACTGAAACTTGCAAGGGACACCCAGAACAACAACAAAATGAGTCCTTTTGGCTATGTTGGAAACAAAAGGAGAACCAAAAGTGACTGCTGGTGCACTGAGAGGAGAAACTGGTGAACTGGTAATGGTGTAAAGGCAGAATGAAAGGGAAGAAGAAGGATGCAGGAAAGTACAGACGTGTCACCTTTTTACACTGGGCAAGGTCCTCAGAGAGATTATTAACAATGTGTTTGTGAGCATTTGGGTAAGTATGCTATGATTAAGCATGACTAACCTTGCCTCCTTCTTTGATAGAGTTATTAGTTTATTACATCAGGGGAATGCCATAGACAAAGTGTCCCTGGACCTCACTGAAGCTTTCAAGAAAGCCTCTCAATAAAATGGTAAAGTATTGACTAAATGATACTACTGTACCCAACAGCACTCATGAATGACATACTAGAAAAAGTATTAAATGGAATGCCACTGTCCTGAGCCTTGTCCTGTTCAACATTTTTATGAATGACATAGATGGAGCTGAGGAGAAGCTTACCCAATTTGCAGGTGGCAAATGGGAGGCAGGGCTAAGAGAGAGAGAGAAAAAAGATTCAAAAAGATCTACCTAAGCTTGAGCAGGGGCTGAAATGAATAGGTTGGAAAGTAACCGGTGAAATGTGAAGTTCTGCATCTGGGGAGGAAAAATGAAAGGCACAGGTCTAGCACGAGGGGAACATGGCTTGCAGTAGTACATGGGAAAGGGCTCTCAGTGTCACACATGAGCCAGAGTGTGATGCAACTGCTAAAAAGGCAAATGAGATATTGAGGTGTATACAAGAGCATAGAGTCCAAATCACTGGAATAATTGTTCCAATCTACTTTGACTTCATCAAACCTTATTTGGAGTATTATATCTAGTTCTAAACCACTATACAAAGGACTGTGACAAACTGGAACAAGTTCAGGGGAAGGCTGTCAAGTTCAGGAAACCAAGCCCTGTGAGGAATGGTTGAAGGTTCTGGGTGTGTTTAGCCTACAGAAAAGAAGATTAAAGAGAACTATGATAGCGGTCTTCAAATATCTGAAGGACTGTTACATAAAAAAGGGAGTGAACTTATTTTCTACTCTCTCAGAGGCAGGACTCAGAACCAAAGGGTTAAAACAACAAGGAAGTAGCTTCAGGCAAGACACCAAGAGGAACTTGGTAACTATATGAGCTGTCAATCAGTGCAATAGGTTGCCACACAAAGAGGTCAGTTTTCCTTCACTAGAGGTCTTCAAACAGAGGCTAGATGACCAGTTGTCAGAGAGGCTCAAAATCCAGGTATTATTCCCTTTGCTGCATTTTACTGTTTGTCTGGAGTTTTGCAGCTCAGATGTGACAGTCCTATGCTGACAGTCCCATGCTGACAGTCCCATGCTAGCTGGGGAATTCTGGGAGTTGAAATCCACATATCGTAAAGTTGATAAGGTTGAGAAAACCTGATCTATACAATGCTTATTTCCAGTGTTGATTACAAGCCCTTTGCCTGAAAGGTTGGGGTGTAGCTCCATGTTCAAAGAGGTTTTGGGTCAAGGAAGCAGAAAGTAGTTTTTTCTAGGATCTTTTTTCCAGCTTCCAGAGTTCTCCCAGAATGGGCATGGCCAAAATTTGGCACCTATTTCACCCCATAAAAACTGGTCAAGTCCTTCTCCTAGATCTGCCCTACTTTGGAGTCTGATCCCCTCACATCTGGGGTGCAGTTGTTCATACGCTACACACAACATAGTGCAACCCTTAAGCCAAACTAAGTTCTAGAGTGGAAATTTGGAAGGGAAGGCCCCTGCTCCAACTTTCATGTGAACAGAATTGAGAACTCTGTCAAAATGCTACTCCAACAAGACAAGCTATGGAAACAGATACAGAATGGAGCTCTGGTCATGCTTGCATTGGTGAACTTATAGTGTCTTCTTAGCATCACCCAACCATTATTTTGGCATAGCAATAGTTCTGGAAGACTCTGTAAATTGCTGGTGTAGAAATGACTGTACTGCTGAACAGAAGGAAAATCTTGTGAGATAGAGGTGGACCTTAATAGTGTTTCAGCAGTAGTGCTTGTAATCTGATTCAGATTTAGACTTTCAGCTAGTCAGAGCGGTAAAATCTTGGCTGTTAGTGACATTGCATCTTCTTGTGTCAACTATCTTATATATTTTTATTGAGGAAGAATTTTATACACAATTAAAAACTACAAAAATGTAAAGAGAAAATTAGAAGAAGTATGAAAAGATAAAAAGTAAAAAACAATTAAAGTCAAAGAAAGGGAAAGAAAAAGAAAAATATCTGACGAAGTGACTTCCAATCTTTTTTGCAGTAGTTACAAACATGGTTATCATCATTTCCGCCCTCCCAAATTACATATCATGTTTCCTTCTTCCCATAAACAACCCTTTTTAATTAGTAAATCCCAAAATCACCAATTCATTTTCAGCAAACAGTCCATGAAGAGTTTCCAGTCTTTTATAAAAGTACCTATTGTTTCTTCTCTAATCAGATAACTTGTGTCACTAATCCCCCACTGAGGTGAATAAAGCCTGTCCTCACTGCTGTTATATCAACGTAATGATGATTGGATGACTCTAGAAGATGCCATAGGGGGAATCTGGAGAAATGGCGCTAGATGAATGCAGACTAGCCTAGCCTTTCTTGAGCTTCTTTGGAGGTTCCAGCAGGGGAGCACAGCTATTGTATACCCTTGACCAAAGATCAGTATGCTCCTTCTATCTGGGATGGTCATCCTCTTCCACTGAGCATGCAGCTTCAGAAGGGATGCACATGGAGTGGTGAGGGAGGAAGGGGACACCTGCCTAGCCAGCCAGATCAGCCGAATCAACCCTGGCGATCAATGGGGTGACAGACGTCATAGCCAGATCTCCCTCACATCCTTTAGCTTAGCCTTTCTGAGTGAAGCAGCAGATGGGAGAATTGCAGAGTTACTCTGGCCTGAAGAATTTCACTCACTGCTTTGCCTCAGTCTGTGATTCTGAGGCTTCTCTGTAGCCGTGCTGGCACTGTAGACAATATGTTTAGAGGCCACCAGGCTGTGGAAGAGTGGGGCATGGGACATAGCATTGGCTTCTGCATTGCAACTAAACATTTAACTGAACTGGTCAACTAGTCCTTGTAGACTTTTGGTTCCCTGGTAGGATACCAGTCTCTAACCACTGTTTCTAGGTTTGAAGAGGCATGTAATACCAGGCAGAATAGCTTTTGCAAACAGAATTCCCCGGGTTAAGAATGAGTTCCATTCCTAAGTCTGTCTTTAACTTGAATTTGTATATAAATCAGAACTCGTACTTACAAATGGGCTGCCTATTACTAAAAATGGTGGATGGTGTTCTCCTTCCTCAAGGCAATGAACTGCTGAAGCCACACAATGTTTTCATGAATCGCTGAAAACAGGCTGTGCGCGGCTTCAGTGGTTCATAAAAACACCGCACAGCTTCAGCAGTTTGACGGATCAAGGAAGGAAAATCCCATTTTTAGTAATGGCAGTGTTCGTAAGTATGAGTTGTCTGTAAGTCGGATGTTCTTAACCTGGGGACTGCCTGTACAGTACCTGTTTAAAATTAAAGATACATACTTAGTACCTAGAGAGACAGTTTGGTGTAGTGGTGAAGGCACCAGGCTAGAAACCGAGAGGCTGTGAGTTCTAGTCCACCTTGGGCAAAAAGCCAGCTGGGTGATCTTGGGCCAGTCACTCTCTCTCAACCCCAGGAAGGAGGCAATGGCAAACCACTTCTGAAAACCTTGCCAAGAAAATTCCAGGGACTTCTCCAGGCAGTTGCCAGGAGTCAACATTGACTCAATGGCACCCAAAAACAAAAATAAAATAGAACAAAACCAACCAACCCACCCCCTTATTATCATTACCTTCTTTCTTTCCCCCTTTCTTGTTCTGGAGATTTAGGGATCAGTACTGGCACTTCTTCAGCCTCAGGCCTTAATATTAATACAGTATGCATATAATCAGTAAAAGTGAAGATGCATGTAAGGAAACTTCCTGGATTTCTGCTCTGAATGGGTAACTCTCAAGCCTTGGTTCTTGACCCACACACTCTGCAAGCAGGAAAATAAAAGGAATTTTAAAAACTTCAGGTAAAATCTTCAGTATCCGTTTTACTTTTACTTTTTTTTTAAAAAAAATCCCACTCTAAGGCCAGGCAGTCTTGTTTTGTTTTTTCCACCTCCACCACTTTTTTTTGCTTTTCACTCGATTTTCAATAGTCCTTTGGGGGGAAAAAAAAAAGAACGGTCTTTAACTAGCCTGATTAAAGTGCCATTGTGAGGGGAGGCTGTTTCTAAAATAATTAGTTTTCACCAGGAATCGGCATTTCATTTTAGTACAGGTTCACTTTTTATGCTTTTCTTCATGAAGAAAAACAGCGAAAGGAGATGTTTTGTCCACCTTTGGAGAAGGAAAATAGAGAACTTGTCAGGGAACTGAAAGGTAATGTTACCTCACTATTGTGAAAGCCTGGGTTGCAGAATACAGTAAAGTGGAAATCTTTCTCCTCCCTCCCTGCCCACATTTGATTGAATGCTTCTGAAAGAAAAATCAAGATCATTGAAGACAATTTGGTTGAGAATCAACGCCTGAAATAACAAAGACATTCAACTGAATCAGAGGGGAAATGCCCCAATAATGTTTCATTCAGTGCAATCATTGGTTTGCATGCCTGCATACAGGCCTTTGCTTGCACACTTTGTAACAACATGTAATGAAATGATTGACAAAAGGCAATAACAGGTAGAGCATCTACTCTGAACACAGAAGGTACCAGATTCAATTCCCAGGATCTCCAGGTAAAAAGAACTGGGTTGCAAATGAGAGGAAGAGCCACCACCAGTTGGAGTAAGCCAGTGTTGTCCAAACTTGGCCACTTTAAGATGAGTGGACTTCAACTCCCAGAATTCATTGTGCCAATCTTTCACGTTGCGGAAAAGAAGCAGGTTTTCCTGCTTCGTTCCACACCAAGCCATGGGGTATAAATTTCGTTACACTTCCCCCTCTTTGGGGAAGGGGTGTTCGTGTGACCTGTCCGGCCTTGATTATTCATTGGTACATTTGATGGAGAGGTGCTGGGTAGGAAATCAACCAATCAGTATTCTCTGAATATTCTTAAATGCACCCACCCATCTCCTACTACAAGAAGGGAAATTTATTTTACCAGCCAGCCTGGTCAGCAATGAGTGTCAGCAGTAAAACTCTATCCTGGTAAGATATGAGTAGGGCTGAGCTATGCTACAGATCTTTTAAACCCCATCTGTGGAAAAGTAGGACATGCAGGGCACACAAGCAGGGGCATCCATGGGGCAGAGGAGTTGAAATAGCCAAGATGGCAGCTAGAACCATGCGATCAAAGTCTGCCCTTTTTTTAGATGTGCCACCCAATGCACACATCTAAATGTGATGGTTTCGTCCCATGAAAAAAGAGGTAGATAAGTAAGTTTGAGAAAGGAAGATCTCTTTGGAATAGACAAGCTAGAATTAGGCAATGTTGCAGCAGATAGCCTGAGTCTCAAAAATTGTTTAAAAGGATCTAAAAAAAAGGAAGCTGCTTTTAAGTCTCCTTGTCTCCTGTAGAGTCTTGCACCATAAAAAGAAGCATGTGAGGTGGTGGGAAGGTGGAACAAGGACTAGCGAACATGGACATGGACCCCAAAAGAGAGTTCACTAGAAAATGCTTGCGGGGAGTCACGTTGAATAACAGCTAATAATCTATTCTGTAGATTCTCTAAGAATGATAGATTATATTATTAGTAGTGTGATGCCACCATAGAAACCATTGCGTTATAAAAATACATAAACAGAACCTGCAAAATGGAAAATTGTAGAAAGGAATGGCCAGGCAAGTCTAGAGCATAGCTTAAGTGAAATGTATCTTGAGACTTAAAGAAAAAGAGAATCAATTAAATGGCTGTGAGTGAGAAAATATTACTTCAATAAGCAGCACAGTGTGAAAAAAACACATGGATATTAAATACGGGTACAGGAAGAAAGCAATGCACAGCTTAAGAACAAGAATTACAGAACCTACTTCAGGGATCAGCAGAGATTAGATCCATTTTCCAGAGCCTGCTGACCTCCAGATATCTTGGATGATGGAAAATAGGAGCAGCATGCACTAATCAGCTGTAGCACAGTGAGGAAATACATTGTTTGTGTCCCTGCTAAATTAGTAAAATGAACTATACCCAACTATACCCTGTGGGTGCTATCTCACAGCAAATTATCTCAATGAAAATGCTAAAATGTTTTTTGGGGCAGAAGGCCAAACCAGCAGTGAGACGAAGCTTAAAAGACTGATCTCTCAATTCTTTCCCGCTGCATGGAAATCAAGGGCCTGCTGTTGTACATTATTCAAAGGGAAGCAAGCAGTAAATGAAAGATAAATATGCATTCCAATGTTTATTATTATTTCAGGACTGCGCGATTGCAAGATGTGCAGCTGGAGAAAGGGTTATATATAAGTACAAAGGAGAGGTCTGCATATTATTGCTGGTAGTTTCTGGGCATCAAAGGCCTCTCTTTCATCAGGTTCTTGATTTCTCCTCTGGTGGTCTTTTGGTTGAAAGAATGATGTGAATGCAGAATAAAAATTTCCACTCAATCCAGTGGAGACAAAATGCCAATGAAATACACTGCTATCTTTGGACTGCATAGAAGGAAATATTTGAAAAAGCTGCTTGTCGTTTATACTGTAGACTATGATGAAAATATCAAAATATGTGTGTTATAATCATTCTTTTAATTCTGACAATTACTAATCAGCTGTGTTCTTTGTTCTAGATTTAATAGCACAATTGTTTTCCCCATAGTAAGAAATCATGCATTCACAGGTTAGTTCTACCATTTCACTGGCAGCCAGCAAGAAGAGAGGGCAAAGTTGCTGGGAACTCATACAAAATCCTGCCTTTTCTTACATGAATGGGAAAGTCCAAGATTTTTCCAGTCTATAGAGGAAGATCTTCAATCTTCCAAGAATTCACAGCCCTAATATCTGGTCTAAGGGGTTCATTGTTTGGGTTTTTTTCTCAAATCATCCTATCATTGACAAAGGGCTACCAAGAAATTTGGAAAATACTTCAGCATATGATCCTCTTTCCTTCCTTTCTTTCCCTACTGCTTGTTATTTGTGTCATCCCTAAAGCAGCTGATATCAGGACAATAAAATAATCCTATAAAATAAATAGGACCAATCCAATAAATATCTCAATATTATTCTGCCATTTCTCACTAACAGAGGTTTTCTTGAAGAGCAAATTGTCTATCAGTTGTTTAGCTATGAAACATACTCATAGAAATCACTCACCATCCCCCATAGCAGCTGTATGATCCTATATGATCCTCATCCATCTTTTAAGGTCCTGTGGCCTTCACATTTTTTCTCTCCAAAGCCAGGCAGGATTTGCTGTCTCTCATATACGTGGGTGTACATTTACAGTATTACGGCAGGAGTTCAGAGCGTCTGTTTCTAAAAACTGACTCTGCCCGGCCTTTATGGGATCCAGAGCTTTTAAATAAACAAGCCAGTCTGATAAGTCACATTAAAATATTGATCCTTGTGGGATGGCTCTGGGTCATCTACATGAATGAGGGCTGCTAGTTCGTGAGCCTAAGCGCATGTACATATGCACAGACACACAAGCCACGACAACAGCAACCTTTTTTCTCTTTGCTTGGGACAGATTTAGAATAACTGGAGAGAAGAAATAAAAAATAAAAGGCAATGGGAGGAAATTCACAAGTACTTCCAAGCAAGATGAATAGAGTCTTCAAATCCCTGTACATAAAAAAATAAATCCTGTAAAAGGTAACACCGGCAGGTGCTTTATTTTGTGACATGAAAGATGAGTTGATCAGTGGTTTCCTTTGGATGTATTGGAGTACAGTGCAATTCTTACTCCTAGCCATTGTGACAACATTTTCCTTGACAGACAGGAAAAAAAGGGCCTTATTCTTCCTACTTCTCTTGCTGCAAAAATCTAGCATGCCATAAAATAAATTCATATTTTCCAAATCTTCCAGATACTTTTCAGATGTAAGTCATCCTCAGGGCCAGTCCTACCCTTAGAATGATTTCCCTTAGTTTAAATTCTAATTTCCATAAACCAAGGGTCACCAATTAGTGTGCGTAGACATCAGGCTCTCATCCCACCTACCTTTTTAAAGGAGTTGTTTAAATTAAAATAATAATAATAATAACCCAATAGTGGACATGTTGCAAAACAAAGCACCTGCCTCTTACACCTTATTTATTTGCCCTGAGTTTCATAAAGATCCCTTTGATGGTAGAGGGTATCTCAGGAGCATCCACAGAAAGGATCCTAGAAGTCAAGATTGCGCCTGCGACTACAGGATCATAGACCCATCACTGTTTTTATGTGCCTTGTATACACAACACACATTTTAAAAAGGGCAGGGTTTCAATCATACAGTAATGGCCACTATCTTGACTCTCTGAATCCCCTCCCAGAACATCCTGCAAGACTAGTTTTCCTTCTGATAAATAAGTGTTTTGCGACAACCCGTGTCCACTTTAGCAGCCATTTAATGATTAGCCAAATCTCTGACAGCGGCCTTTACATGAGCACATAACTCCTGCTGCTTTGAAAATCCAATCCCTGGCCCAAAAGGTTTGCCTGCTCCTGCTGCAAACCCCAAAATGGCAACTCTTCTGCATTCCGATGATACCGTGAGCCTAAGTCACTAGATAAGAAGCTGCACATGATGGTTTGTGTGTCAAACGACAGCATGCACTCACTGACCACACTTCTATGCTTGCTGACCCATGCCCTCCCTCAGGGGTCAAAACTGGCAAGATGGCAGACAGAGCAACGGGATGGAAACCCCACCCCTTGTGTGTGTGTGTGTGTGTGTGTGTGTGTGATATACATATTTTAAAAGGATTGGGGGTTGTATCATGATGCTTCTGTTCACCATCTTGCTGATTTTGACACGTATGCACAAGCATATCCCAGAGACTCTACAGCTCTGTCAAATGGTTGACCACCTTGTGCCAGCAATGACTCATTCAGCGTGAGTCCATCATTTAGCTATCAGCCATATTCTTAGATCTCCCACCACCACCAAGGGGCTAGGAAGCTGTTATTTTTTTTCCCTTTTCTCTCTCCTGCTTTTAAATGTATTCTTTTCCACCTACAAGAGTGAGAAAAACCTGTAATATTATGATGCCTGGTTGGAACTGTTGTGGATGGAGTTGGGTGGCGACTTATCTTCCCCCATCTCTTTCTGTCCTCTTTTCATCTCTTTTTACTCCACCCTCGGAGCTGTAGGAAGGTTGAAAATTGAAAGGACAATAGAGATGGAATGCTTTTAGAGGAACCATTTCTTTTTTGAGGGGGGGCTTACTGTGGGGAAGATAACTTTCAACCCTCAGTAGCCCTGGGAATGTTTGGGGCTAAAAGCAGCCTCCTCATGTTCAGTTAACTAGGTCATTTGTCTGGTCAGACTACTTGATCACAAATACTGTGTGTACCTACACAATCTTTAAATTTGGCCTTAAACCAGCATTCAAAATCAGAAAAAATGTGGGTATATATATATGCATGCATATATTTGTATGAGGTGTTATTGTTATAACACCTCATACAAAGGTGGATTCGACAGGAATTACCTTATGGTATGTATGTATGTATGTATGTATGTATGTATGTATTTATATATCTCGCCTATCCATGAGGAGCTCAATGTGGCATACACTCCTTTCTCCAACTTTTCCCCTAAATAAGAATGAAGTAGGTTGGGCCAAGGGAGAGTAATTGAAAGTTACCAGTGAGTTCTCATGGCTGAGAGTGGATTTGAATCAGATCCTAGTCTACCTTAATTGCTCTACCACCATATTCAATTTGAACCATTCAACTTGCATTGATTAGTTATTTGTGGTATTTACAATACAGGTAGCCCTCGACTTATGAACATTGGTTTAGCAACTCTTCAAAGTTACAATAGCGCTGAAAAAAGTGATTTATGATCGGTCCTTGCACTTACAACTGTCAGAGCGTCCCCACAGTCAAATGATCAAAATTTGGGTGCTTGGCAACCAGCATATATTTACAACTGTTGCAGCATCCCCAAGTCACATGATCGCCATTTGCGACCTTCCCAGCTGACTTCTGACAAGCAAAGTCAAAGGGCAACTGTGTGATTCACTTAACAATCATGTGATTTGCTTAATGACTGCCACAAAAAATGTTGTGAAATCAGGTGTGGTCATGTGATGCCTTGCTTAATGACCACACGCTTAACAATGAATTTTCCAGTCCCTATTGTGGTATTAAGTCAAGGACTACCTGTACCCCCATAAGAAAGCATTAGCTTCCCCAGTATATGTCATTTTTTTCCCCTTGTGGAACTGCACTGAAAAAAATCAGGATGAATTTTGAAGAATGATTCAATGTTTGGTTTGAAAATGCAAAATGATATAAACTTGTGCATAAATGTGCAATGATCAGCTTTCTTATTCTTTCTAATGTCAACTAATGGAAGCTTCAACTCTAACATTTTGGCTTCAGTGCCTATTGTATAGTGAAATGTTTTGAACTGCAACAGTTGTTTTAATACAGGCTTTCTGACGTGTGAATTTTGTTATGGATCACCACCACCATTTTTTGTTTCAGAAAATTCCTTTCTTGAGGGCACAATAAATACATCACTAAACAGACCAGAAAATCATATTACAAAATAATTGGTTTCCTAGCTTCAGTGGGAAACAAAACTATGGAGATTTATGTGACTGAATAGATTCTTGAACAATGGAGATTTGTCAGGAAAAGGTGGAGAATGCGAGCAGAGGTAAAATAATATTTTTGTTGGTAAGGATGAGATCTTGACAATTTCAGTCTATATAAATGCTTGTTATTTTTGTGTGTGTGTGTGTGTGTCTGTGTGTGCCTTAGAGAAGTCTTGACTCCTGGAGACCACACAGACAAGTCTGTGTTGTTTACTTGACGTTTGCCAAAGGGCTTGCCATGTTCTTCTTCCTTGGGCTGAAAGAAAATTACCAGCCTAAGGTCATCCAGCCAGCTTCATGCCTAAAGCAGGACTAGAATTCATGCTTTCCTGGCTTCTACTCCAGGGCCTTCAACTACTGCACCAAACTGGTTCTCACTGCTTTCAAGTCAGTCTTGACTTCTGGCAACAACAAGTCCCTGCAGTTTTCTTGGCAACCTTTTTCAGAAGTGATTTGACTTTGCCTTCTTTCTTGGTCTGAGAGAAAATGACTGACCCAAGGTCACCCAGTTGGCTTCATGCCTCAGGTGGGACTAGAACTCACAGTTTCCCAATTTCTAGCCCAGTGCCTTTAAGCACTCCACCAGACTGGCTCTCTGAAATGGTCATACTGAAAACAAAATAAATATCTTGTGTCACCTTTCAAGTTGCCCAACTGACAGGCTGCTGGCACAGAGATGCTGTGTGATGACAAGCTTTCATTGGGGCTAGTTCAGAACGTGTAACGAGCATTATTCCAGGAAAGTGGTAGATATGTGTCCCCCCAATCAGGTTTATTGGACAGTGGCCCAGTAGAGAGGCACAGGACAAAGGGACCGTGGAGCATGCCAGCTGAGCTCTGTTTCACTTCACCACAAATATAGACCCACTTTTTCTGAAAGATCACCATAAAGATCACCAAGATTGCTAAGATATCCACACAACTCCCACTGAATGCAATGCAAGCAATGAGAAATAGCCATCTTAATATTTGACTTGTTAATCTGTGTAGCGGTCTTGCTGCTGTTCTTCTCCCTTCCTGTTTTTCTAAAAAAAGAGAACTCTAGTGCTCTATCTACTAAACACTCTCTCTCAAGAACACTGAACATAAGTTTTGAAAAAGGTCTAGCACTCTGCCAGTAGAACGAAGAACAAATATTAATAAAGAGCCCACCCAAAACAGACTTGGGCATCGGAAAGTATGCCCCAAAAACAGATAGGAGGGGGTGTGTTTGCAGCAGCCAATAAGAGCTGGGCAGTTGCTGCATCGTAACCATCATAACCCAGAAATTGTGCATTCAGCAAGGCTGGGATTGGGAGATGGAAAATGCCAGTTCAATATGAGATCAACTAAAAATTAAGTTAGACCACCTCAGGTATGTGCTGGGGATCAGCTGAAGGACATCCTGAGGACATGTCCTTAAAGAATGGTGAGCAGAGGCACCATTAGAGGAATGAGTAAATGAGCCCTAAGAGAGGAGGTCTGCTGGATTTAAAGACCTTGGACAAAACATCACACAAGCATTAAGTATAGAGAGAAGACAATACTTTCTGCACTGACAGAGGATATTGTGGGGATTTTTAATTGTTTTCCATATCTCTTTGGCCTTGTGAACTTCCAGAGGTATAACTGTTCTATCAGATGAATCACTGTATTAGAAGGTCAGGATGGAATCAACCCAGGTTTAATATTAGAAAATTGGGGGGGGGGGTAATTTTTTTTTGC